TACAAGTTGTCTACGTTGGAAAGAATTGAGTCGAACGATATGATCAAAGATAGTATGACCAGGGTTCATCATATCGACTTGTACTGTTCGAGAAACCAAAAATACACGATCGTGATAGTTGTCCGTCCATGTGCAAAAATAAAGGAGAAGACAGTATCAGTTGCACCGTTGGAAAGAATTGAGTCGAACGATGAAACATATTTTCAATCATATTAAACAATTTGCTCAATCAACGATGTGAATTACACTAGTAATGACGTCGGGGAGTCGATGGTCTTATCTACATAATTTGTCAATGTTGCATGGATCGACAAACAATATCCTACACATGTCATTCAAGATTCAGATTATGGAACCCAACATGAACGGTTTGAAACATATCATAATCTAATAATTCAAATCAATTCTTTGTATATAATTCAATATTAACGAAAGCTGCTTTGAAACATACCACAAAGCTACTCCTCAAAACACGAAAAAATATCACTATTCTTTCCTAATTTATATTATTATCGTTAAAATTATACCAAATTTATATTTATTTTTATCTTAAAAATCATAATCTAACTTTTTTATTTTTAAAATATTTTTAAGTTATTTTTATCATTTTTGAACGTACCTCGATACGAACTGAAATTACGAGCCTTATTATGATTATATGTAATGATCCGAAAAAATAAGATCATTTCATTTCAACAAAAAAATCATATCCAAGTTCAATAGTTTTACATCATCGGAAGATGAGGCAGTTGCCCACCGTCTCTTCCGCCAACCTAGATGTGATCTCAAGAGGATGCAGTTGACATACCGCCAGCTGCACAAGTCCTCCGAAACATACAACCTAGGTTGTTGCAGGTTACTCCAAAGCATACAATAAGTCTCCTACTCTTATTCAAGCACTAAATGGACACCACATATTTATGTAAATAATGGCTCAATATTTGCATAATAAGTGTCAATGAATTTGCTAGCTTCAACTCAAAAAATAATAAAACGCTCAACAAATAACTTATGATGGCTTCCATGGCATTCTTCTACTTTTTTTTGGTGGCAAATCACATGACAGAATAATGATGAGCAAGTCTAAAGAGCTATATCACAAAACATTTGTTTTATGCGACAATTAACCCAAAACTCCAAGTCATACAAACCACACATGCTCCCTCTTGTGCCACCATCTTTGCAGGACAAACAGCTTGATCTTAGTGCCTGTCTAAAGGAAAGGAAGAAGTGTCCTCCTAGGTAATGTGGTGTCGCTGCAGGTCAAGTTCCTAATCACACTTGAGTTGATGGAGTAATTCCAAGGCTTATAGTCCAGAAGTAATAGCCTTTAGAAACAGTTTTTAGTAGCCTCTCAAACACCCCTGCGACACTCCAGCTGCTTTGTATTCTCTAATAAAACCTGGTACAGGAGTAGCCAACACGGTAAGTATATAATGAAAGGGAAAAGGACTAACCACCAACAAACATTTTACATAAGCATGGTATAGGGAGAACTTAGCAGCAAGGTCATTTAAGACACAAATTTACTCTAAGAAGCTTGCATAGCATGATAAACTAAAAGTGAAAATGTATGAATATTGAGTTGGTAATCATAAGTAAATTCATGGCAAGACTGGATGCATGAGAGAAATTGCAAAATCTCTTACGCCTCGTATGTACTGAGCAATAGCCTTGCATCCTTCAATTGCAAGTTGCATAACATTTTCAAATATATCCATTGGTAGTTTGGCATCCATCTGAAATTTAACCAGCATGACAATTAGTCAAATGTATAAACTGAAGAAAATATGGGTACAAATTTGCAAAACACTGTGCTCCTGCATAAAAGTCTGAATATGAATATGGATACACAAAAGAGACATTCAACACCAGAATGTCATGACTATTAGTTGTGTCACGATTTCTCACACTCAACACCGATTCAAACATCCAAATACCAGCAAGAAACTCGGTGAATGTACATTCCACATTCTTAACCAAAACTAGTGGCAGGAAGTAGGAACCTGGGGCATGAGTTGTAGCATATCACTAGGGGTGATGGTTTAACAGGGTGTTGCCATGTTTAGAAAGATAAGAATAGAAGAAGGGACTCATCATGCTTTTATTCATTCACAACACTGTGAAATGTAAATTATGAAAAATGTCTCTGCTTAGTAGTATTCTTTATTAAGAAATGTAAATCCTATAACAACCCCAGGATGCTCGAACAAACAATAAAAAGGTTAGCTGTAAAGTTGACCACAAATACAGAAGTGCTAGAAAGCTTAATGGACAAAATATAAACAGATACGTGTTTTCCTAATCATCTGTTACAAATAAAAAAAAATCAAAATTTTCTATACTTCCAAGAATTCAAGGTAGAAAAGTAAAATAAATAAGCTTAACGGAGAAACATGTGAAAGAAGTCCAATATGGGCATGCATATCTTTGTTTTGCAGGCACAAAACTACTGTCACTGACAAATCAGAGTTTCTCATGCCAGTAGACTCTAAATACAGGTGGCAAAGCTGAAAAGAAAAATATAACCTGTATCATCTGGAAAGCCTCCATTATCTTGACTTTAGATAAAAAGATTTCTCAATATAATTATAATCATTTCCAACAAAAACAACAAATGCCAAAATGGTCGCATGATAAATTGAAATGCATTAGAATATCCACTTCACCTAAAAGATAAAGTTGAATGAAAACTTTAATTGCATTATAGTCCGATCTTAAGGTCACATAAAATTTAGATCTACTCAAAAACAACATCAAGATGCACTTTATTATTCTTCTATGAAGGTTTGCAATATAGACTGCAGTTGTCTTTGGCCAATAAAAAGATATCTTTTTGCAAAACCATGTCTTAATGAACAAAATCAGTCAAATAACACACTAGCTTTATTTATAACCTGTTGCAAATTTAAAGAAATCAATTTTATTTTACATACAAGAAACCTGAGCTGAAGAAACCACAATATCATAGAACTAGATGTGCAGCATTTTGCATTCAGAAAAATTAACTTGGACACCTGAAGAAGAGTCACTTTATCCATCTTTGCTAGAATTCCCACAGTAACATCTGGACCTCCAGCACTATCTTCAATATAGTTTAGATCTGTCCACAAGCCAAACAACAATTTCAATTTTTTGACCAAGGACATTATGATTCATTTGGAAAAGTGTAGCAATTTAAAGCTAAGGAGAGTCCTACCAAGCAAAGGTGTGGAGGAAAGATATCCAGCACTACAGGATGTGACAATATCACACATAGGAATACCGGCATCAGCCAGTGCCAAGGTTGCAGCATTGATGCAAGCTGATCTAGTTCCTAAAGAAAAGATAGAATGTAGATAACCTGAGAGATGTAGCTGATAGCCAAATTCCCAAAAGGATGATAGTAAATGATGAAGCTAAATAAATAAATAATTATGTATTTAAAATCCAATAAATTTCAGGAAAAAGGATCCTACCACCATCAGCTTGTAGAACTTGAACAAAAATGTCAATCTGCAAGAAATGATTTAATGAAATGCTAAATAAAGATATTAAAAAGAGATACATAAAATGTATTCCACGAAAATGACCTGCGAACGTGGCATTAAATGTGTTAGTATGCATGCTTCCATTGTTTGACGGATAACCAAAGATATTTCTGTAGACCGCCTGTCATGATTAACAAAGGTGAAATGTTTGGATAACGATGAAGCTAACAACATGCTCAAGTATTCTAACTAGCATTATAGCCACAAAAAATATGTATCAAACAAACGATGAAGCTAACAATATGTTCAAGTTTACTAACTAGCATTGTAGCCACAATAACATGTATCAAACAATATGAAAATTATGAAGAAACTAACACTTACCACTAGGCTAGATTTTATCAACAATTCAGAGAGTTCAAAAAGAGGAAAATGGAGAATGAAGGGACTAAAATTGGGGTTCCTATATAATACTTAAGAAAACTGGAAAATTTTGCATTTTATGTTGGTCAACAAATTGATTTGCAGTTTCTGGTAGTAATACTAAAGTCACACATCTCTCTTGCAACCATGCAGATAACTGTAACTTTCAGATAGGAAAGAGAAGTGCACTATAATTGATCTAAAGGCCAAGGTACCTGTCACCCTTCGGCCTCCTTGCACGATCCCCAGTGCTAAAATTAGCCATGCTATACTCACAGCGCACCTGCAGATATTCACCGGAAAGAATGAGATGCAAGAACCTCAAACCAACACCACACATGAGACAATCAGACAAGGTCATAAACTTAAACTAACCAGTGCCTGGTTATTAACCTGCTGGCTTCTGTTTTGGACCTAAAACAGAGTGCAGACCACAGAAAACTTATTGTTCAGAATTTGATATGGAATATTGCAGCTCTTGAAACGTAAAATTCATATATTTCTGTTACAAGAATTGAAAATGTATCCTCGCAGTCTAAAAGCTAAAATGTCACTGGAATAATTAACAACGTGGATAGAAAAGAAAATAACGAAGAACGACCAGTAAGCAAGACGAACAAGTCAAGAAGCAAGACTAATATTCCAAAACAACAATTTGAAGTCCATGGTATGAAGAGTGAATGAGATAGGTACGAATAAGGAACACAAGTATTCCAACCTCCCTTGGTCCATATACAGCAGCAATGACCTTGGTGTTTCCCATCTCGAAAAGCGCAGAACTGCATCTCGGAAAACAATATTTAAACTCGTCAACGATTCATACGTCATTTCTCGGATAAACTCTCAACGACAAGAGCATGAAAAGAGAAAACTGAAGAGAAAGGGCAGTCGTACCCATCGGCCTTCGCAACAACACCAATCTCCCCACGAATCTGCCTCATCTGCAACAGCAAGAAGCCATCTTGGATTCGAGATCGAATCGAACGGAAACAATCAATAACAGAAGAAGAAGATCGAAGGTTCGTACGTCATTGGGACGACGCCCGTCTAATCTGAACCCGGTGAGGGAATCAACGTACTCCATCGGCCGCGTCGCCGTGAACTCGCAGGGGCCGGAGCGCGAGACGGAAGACGCTAGGGTTTAGGGTTCTGATTCGACGACAACGCTTGCAAAACGGGTGTGCGATATTTACTCGTTCGTAACGGGAAGACGTTATATCAATCACGTGCAAAACATGTGATCGATACTGGTCCACACGACGCGTGATGCAAACTGGACCATAAAAGTAACACTCGCGTACGAATTCCGCAGCGCCGCTGGCTTTTCTCCTCTTCGCCGTTCCTTCTTCCAACCGCAACGAAGGCGAGAGAGAGAGAGAGAGAGAGAGAGGAAGGGAGAAAGAAAGAGGGAAGAGGAATCGGAGGATCGTGGGACGCGAGTAAGCGACTCTTCTCTCTTGCTTGTATATCTTTCTTTGTTGGTCGATCTTCTCTATTTCCTTGTTTTATTTTCGGTGGGGATTTTGGAACGAGTAGGTCATCGGCAATGGCTACGAGGCGGATCATCAAGGAGCTGAAGGATCTACAGAAGGATCCCCCGACTTCTTGCAGCGCAGGTCCTTCTGGTTTCCCTTCGATTATCCTTTATTTCTTGTGTGGTGTGTATGCGATTTTCCTCTCTTTTTTGTGGCGATATCAGTTTCTTCAGGATTTAGGTCTGAATCCTGTTGCGCTTTCTTGTCGGCGATAACTCATGCTAGCTGGAATTTTCTTATGCGTTCAGACTATCTCAAATTATCTGACCCTCTGCTGCCCCCTTTCTATTTCATGTAGTGCTGCTGATCATGGGGATGAATTGGAGCCTGCTTGATCAGGCTTCTGTATGATTAGTATGCCTGGTGAAGGAATTTCCCATTACATCTCATCATCCGCTTTGTTAGACTATATCCGTTTCTTACATCTCGAATTGGGTTGGAGGAGATCGTATATCCATGGTGGATAACTGACTGTTCAAGGCATCTGATTTGCTTTCAGCTAAGCACGAGTGACCTTAAGATAAATGAAAACATCATGGCTGTTTTTAACAGATTGATAATTCCAGTTTTTGGTCTATCATTGGTTGCTAAAGTAGATTATTTTCATGGAAAAGATTCACCCATCTCATGCAACAAGGTTGTCATCATTTCCTAGATGGAATGGGAATTGGAATGATGTTAAAATATCGGGTGTAATCTTATAGAGGGCAATTACTTCTACTGTTAAGGCTTGAAAGATTTCTTGTCATTAGTTGATTTTGCAGTAAAAACAATATGTATTTTTCTTGCTGCAACTTTTGTAAACTTGGTTTTCTTGTGAGTGAACTCGGTAGGCTTCAGAATCATGTGTTTGTTTCAAACCTGAATTAGTTCGTGTATGTAGTTTCAAATGATAATCCTGCTTCATATTACTAGTTTGAACGACCTGTTGTCATACAGGCCCGGTGGGTGAAGACATGTTCCACTGGCAAGCAACAATAATGGGTCCTCCAGACAGTCCATATGCAGGAGGTGTATTTCTTGTCACCATCCACTTCCCTCCAGATTATCCATTTAAGCCGCCCAAGGTATATGTTTTAACATATAATGATTTTTGTTTTCATTTGTCCTCCACTTTATGATTAGTTTTTCATATATACTGTCACTAAAGTCATATTTAGAAAATATCTGATTGTACAATTTGGTAAGGAGACAGAACGAACATATGGGAGCCACGATTAATTGTAATAGTTTTACTATTGTGAGAATGTGGAAGATTGAAAGACGAGCAAAGAATTTTTTATTTTCTTGACATATGTATTTCTTTTGTGGATTCTTATTGGTTTGTTGATGTTCCCATAACAAGTGGTAAATGGCCACATCCATATCCTTGACCGGATCATAGTGTTAGCAGAGTAGGGAAATCCCCAGAAGAACTGATCTGCATGTTGGAACCTGGAAAAAAAGAAGAATTAGAACAGAATCCTTTACTACACTATGTCTATTAGGGTTGAGGGACAAGGATGGAGCCCCTAGGGATGTTTGATTATATAGTTTACCCCTAAATATAGCCAGGTTATGTAGAGACACTTGTGCTCACTTCTTGTGTGAATGTCCTACATACAACCTTCCATTTTTAAGTGTAGAGTTTTCATGTTACTACTACTAGCAAAAGGACAATCATATTGCTTGAACTTTTGCTCTAATGCCTTAATACAATATTATTTTAATATCAACGTCATGCCAGGGGCAGTATTGTATAATTGCCCAGTTTAAAATGAACCATGAATGGGTTAATGCTATATCATACAAGAACTTTTGTATGAACGGGCATATATGCAAATATGATATGCTTAGGAGGATATTGATGCAAATACTAGTTGTAGTGGGGAAAGTACAAAAATATAAACTTGTGAGGGGTATATTATGAGAAAATACTTCCGTAATGTACCAAACAAAACCATAATTAAACTCATCCTTTGTGCATTTGATCATGATAAGTTGTTGCTCCAAGCATTGGAAAGCTAGGTCATGTTCAAACTTCTTTCTAGATTCCTTGTGTTGATCATAACCTGAGCCAAACCTGAAGCTTGAACACCACTGTACAGTACAAGCCATACTAAAGCTGTTTAATTTGTCTTTTCTAGTCTATATATGAGAACCTAAGTTCTGTTTAGGATATAATATGTGGCATACTCTTCAGAGTTTAATAGTCATAGTGGATCTTGTTTGAACAGTTGATATGATTATTGGCTACCGAAATATTAGGCTTCAGGATTGAGACCCAAGTTTCTGGCAATTGTATGTCTAATTTAGAAAGGATATTTGTTAGTATAATCAACAATAAACTTGTCTCATCGTCTGTTTGAATAGTTTGATTGTCTTGTTTCCCACATGCAAAGGTTCAAGAATGTTTTGAAGTGGAGGCACCTCTCTACATGATGTTGGAGCAAAGGTTCAAGAATTTATAAGATGTTAGGTGCTTTGGGGTCAAATTTTAATTGCAAGCTCAAAGTTTGACTCGTGATAGATGTACTACCACCCACTTCTCCGGTCAAGAGTGCACAGCCTTCTCCTATAATTATGGGCAAAACTTATGTTGGAGCTCTAGGACAACATGTCTAGAGAACCATAGTGTGAATGCTGGATCAATGAGAACATCAAATGTTTACCTGCAGGCTTGATCCACTGGGGGCTGAATGAAGGATTTTGAATTTTCAGATGATAAACGGAGTCGTCTATTTATTGTAGCTTCACTTGTCTCCAAGTAAAATGTTTTATAGAGAAGATAAAAGGACATGGTGTACCTTTTGTGGATGATTTTCGCTTCTTTTATTTATGCAGAATATGTGCTTTAGTTGAACATCATGACACTATATTCCGATTGAACTGTTCGTGAATTAATAAACATTATATGACAGACTCCAACTGATTGAGTGTGCCTTCTGCAGGTTGCTTTCAGGACAAAGGTTTTCCATCCAAATATTAACAGCAACGGAAGCATTTGTCTGGACATCTTAAAGGAGCAGTGGAGCCCTGCATTAACTATTTCCAAGGTTACAGTTCTTTTCCTTCTATTGATCATTCTAACATCTATTAACTCTATTATAATAAGATTTGTAATACCCTGTAAGATCAGGACAAGCCACAATTCATGAATATAACAAAGAAAACCACAGAGGACCATGTGCTTGACACAGACTGAATAAACATAATAATGGTTCGGTTTATTTGTGAATGTCAGAAGTTGGTTAGAACTTTGCTGCCAGCCATTCTTAGTGCTGCCTGATTTCCTGTTAGTTGATTGAGTGATTGCTTCATGGAATATAGATCCTATCCTTTTGAGATTGGTTGTCTTTTATTTTGCATTATGCAGAAAAATCATGTAAGTCATGTACCAAAATCCTCATGGTTGTACCTACCTATTTTTGCTTGAAGAACGTGATCATAAGAACTGGTTTATTGTGCCTTTACAGGTGCTGCTGTCAATCTGCTCCCTGTTGACTGATCCAAACCCAGATGACCCTTTGGTTCCAGAGATCGCCCATATGTACAAGACAGACAGGACCAAGTATGAGACCACGGCAAGGAGCTGGACCCAGAGGTACGCAATGGGCTAAAATTATTGAGCGAACGAAAGAGTGTGGGGCTTTCTTTTGGTTATTTGTCATCTATAGTGGCTGTGTTCTGTCTGTCTGTTTTTGCAAAGACTTATTTGTAAGATTGAAGTAATCTGCATCTGCCGGATTTTGGTTAACTAAAAGACTGAGGAAAGCCTCAACAAACTCATCAGAGAACATTGTCTTCATAATTGTTTATATGGTAATTTGTACGTCAATCGTAAAAGACTTGGTCGCTTCTATTTCATGCATCTTTCAATGGCATGTAGGTGAGGATCCAATTGCTGTGATCTTGGTAATTTATTTATTTTAATTTTAGAGAAATAAAAATAGCGTGAGTAATGCTGACAGCAACCCTCTTTGCATTTACCCAGTTAACCGATGCTTTGCTGATGATCCGGTGACACTTGTGTTGTCTCTATAACATCAAACATACTTGAATGCAAGGAAAACTATTCGTTGATGAGCATTATTCAGTGAAAACAGATTTGGATGCGATGGAGGCTAATTTCTGGGAACGGTGTATCTCTACCGACAATCTTTATATTGTTTACTACCGTAATGTTATATGCAATAATTTGCAGGATAAAGCCAACGTGCGGAAACAAGAGTCAATTTGTTGGTACGTACTAATGCAGCTTAATGTTGGCAATATAGTCAACTTTTGTTCATGAATTATATAAGCTTCGATGCAATATTACAATCTAGTTTAACCTTGAATTTTCTAGGTCGATGCATTGGTCATCCTTTTCCAAATTTGAATCTTCCTCGGTGTATAGTCTATGCAACAAATCAAGTTTCAGTAACCAATTCGTTGTCTCCTGCGAGACAGACCAGAAGAGTCATTGATGAGGCTGGAGCTGCAACGGCAGGTCCTTCGTGAGCGGCACAGCGGAAACCAAGGCCTGCCCGGCGCGGTTCGTGTCTTGTCGTTTCCTTCGCCGCCGCTTCGAAGGACCTCCCGAGTCTTCCTCCACGTAACCGTTGGTAAGCTCACCGTTCTCTATCAATCTTAGCATCTTTTAGTTCGTTGCATCTACTTATTAATCCTTCTAAACCCTTCCTTATTTTTTTCGTTCCAGCAAAGCAATACGTCTACGGATCACCGAAACGGAACGGAGCTCAAAATAGACCGATTCCTCTTTGATGAGGTAAGATTAGTATTAAAGATGTTATTATCGACCTTGACTTTTCTATTCCACGACTACTGTGCGCGTTTCCGCATACTTCTGTCCCAAATCATATGAACCGTTGATCGGTTGATATACCAGTAAGCTTATCGGACCTTCTTTTTTACTACTGGGTTTGGTCAAAATCGAAATTGATTTGATTAGGTAGCTACGGAGATAAGTCACGACTTGTCTTCCGATACAGACTCCCGTACCCCGAGTGTGTCCGCCTTATGTCAGGGTTTCACCGTGACAAGGACAGCTAAGACAGCATGGCGGGGTCAACGTGGCTAACCCCGGTGATTTGACCGTAATTCTTTAACCCTGGCGATGAGCGAGCAAACAGGTGCCTGCCGGTCGGGCCCCCTCACGTGACCCCTCTCTCGGGTACCGTCCCTTGTCTAAAAGGCTGTCCCATTGGTCCCAAGAAAAGGGTCCCACGACCTGATACGAACAGCAAACATCCATTCACCCCGAATGGACTCCACTCATAAGCCGTTGTATAGTGGACGCAATTGTATGTGACACTTTATACCGGCGGGCGGGCGGGCGGGCGTTTCTGGTCCGACGGCCGGAGGACACCACCACCTCATCCAAAACACCGAACCCAAAGTTTTCTCTCTCTCTCTCTCCCTCCCTGCAAAAACCTCGTGGAAAACATCACATCCTATGTCTCTGTTCCCATGGGGATAGCAGCGGCAGAAGAGTACAAAGCAACAGCGTTTGCGCTGGCGACTGCTCTGCTTCTCGTTCCTCTGCTGTTGGTTCCCGCAGTACCACGGCTTCCCATCCAGTCTGCATTCCGCTTGGTCTCCCTCCTACTTTCCTCGAAAGTTCGCATATTTTGCCTTTCGTCCTCCTCCCATCGACCACTCGAAGATTCTCTGCCCTTCTCTCTACCAGTGGCCGTACTCCCCTGGGTTTATCTTTGTTTACCGTTGTGGTTGTGTGTGCTCCTTTAGACACCATCTTTAACTCTTTATTCCCTTGTAAAATCTCAGTGGAATCCCTCCTTTTAGCCTCGCTTCCTGCTCTGTTTCGTTGAGTGGATTTCGATTTATGCTGCTGGGTTTTAGCCTGCTCGGCGGAAAGGAGAGAAGGTTTGGTGAAGACGCCTTCATGCTTGCTCCTTTACGTCGCTTACGGTGGAGACGGCCGTCGACGGACCCCGACCATGACGAAAGCTCGGACCTTGCGCATCTTCTGGACCGACCCTGACGCCACCGACTCATCCGGAGACGAGGAGTGCGGCGTCTCCGGCCGCCGCGTCGGGCGGCTCGTGAGGGAGATTGGGCTCGAGCCCTGCCACTCCTTCGGTGACAAGCAGAAGAGGCCGAGGAAGAAGGCCTCCGCCGAACGAGGCAAGATGGCTCCCGCGCAGACGGGGAGCACCAAGTTCCGCGGCGTCCGGCGGCGACCTTGGGGGAAGTACGCAGCGGAGATCCGCGACCCGTGGCGCGGCGTCCGCTTGTGGCTCGGGACCTTCGACACCGCCGAGGAGGCCGCCATGGTCTACGACTGCGCGGCGCGCCAGCTCCGCGGCCCCGGCGCCGCCACCAACTTCTCCACTCCCTCTTCGTCCGCCATCTCCACTGCCCCCGCTCGACCCCAGGTGGAGGCCATGCCCACAGTCTCCGGCGGCTACGACTCCCGCGATGAGTCCCACAGCCTGTCCTCCCCGACGTCCGTCCTCCGAGGGTTCTCCTCATGCTGCGCCAAAGAAGGCCCAGCCGGGGAGGAGACAAAGGAAGGGAGTGACTTCAACGCAGAGTTCTGGTCTCCGGAGTGCAGGGTGGAGGAGTTTGTACCGTTCGACGAAGCGCCGCTATATCACGATCCATGGGGTTTCTCATCGTGGGAGCCGAGGGTTCACGAGGCGAGGACGACACGGGTCGGGTTCTCCGCCTCGGCGGCTGACACGTCGAATGAGGTCATGCTCGCGTCCTCCTCGGCGTCGGGTACGGGTTTCGGGACGGTCACGTGGCAAGACGACGACTATTTTCACGACATCGGCGATCTCTTCCCGCTCGAACCCCTCCCCGCCATATTCTGAGTCCAATTTTTTTAAGTCGCCGATCTTGCCGCCGATTTTATTAACGGAAGGAAGAAGCGGTCGACACTTATCTTCTCCTTGTTGTGTTCTTAGATCGTGTGTCACTGTGGTTTCCCTTTCAATTTGTATCAGAAACTTTGAATTCAAGAAAGTATCCATGTCGAAAGCTTTGTGCTCTTCTTGCGAGTGAACACTGAATTAGTTCCAAGCTGTCAAGTTTCAACCTTCGTTCCTTCTTGTGATGATAGTTCTCGGTGCCGAGGTCTTAGCAGCAAACTACAGTCAGCTTCAGTATTGATTTCTTCTTGTGATGATAGTTCTCAGTGCCGAGGTTTGAGCAGCAAACTGTGGCTGTAACGCTTGATCCAATAACACAGTCATCTACAAGAAAACCATGCCAAGACCACCATATTATCGGTGATGTGGTAGAACAACAGAAGCATTTCTCCAGAGGAGTGCCAGCATTTGTATCAGTTATTACACTGAAGCCGAGTAAACTTAGCTCGGTTCAATATCGAAAGTGCAAGTCTTTCTTGGGGAGCTAATACGGAGGACTGTTGTGGAGAGCTAGCCTGAGGCACAAGCGTAAAGAGCTTCCTGTCTATAGAGGGGGCAAATTGATCTTGGGAAGATGGCTCGTCTTGTCCGTGGGAGTTATCTTGCAATGGCTCCTCAGCTAAGTCAGGGATTCTACATGACAGGTCAGTGTCGAGGGAGGTCTCGACGTGGCTCTTTCGATGCTTAAGTCAAAGAGATGGGGAAAGAATAAGTTAGTTATATTCAGAAGAGTGTGGTGTTCACCCGCTTACTCTTGTTATGCCTGAGGCCTAGGTTTTATATTTGGGCACCTGATGATGAGAACGGAGATTTGTGAGAATCCCCCTATCCTGCTCATTGGGTTCCATTAATGGAGATAACTTATCAACGTGTCGACCCAAGGCCGGTGTCGACACAAGGCCCTTGGAATGGTGTTCCATGTTAGGCTTTTTACTCCTTTGAGTTAGGCAAGGAGTGATCCCTCCTTCAATCATCCGGAAGAGAGGTGGGTGGTATGGCAAGGGTGTGGCCCTTTTAGCAAGGAGTGGTCATTGCAAGCTTTCTTCGGGAAGTTGGGACAAGCAGGGATCATAGGTTGATCCCCTGTCGACAGCTACAGGGAGTTGGTGAGAGTTCCCATATTTTTACTTATGTGGCTTGCTCGGCCCAAATGATGGGATGAGTTGATAGTGTTAGTATTTTTTCTATCATTATCCTTTAGATTGTAGCATTTACTCAAATTTAATTCTTCAAAAGAGATGTTCAATTGACAATATAGTTGAAAACATTTTCTAGTAGAACTCTAATTAGGTACCCTTATGATGAGATCAAATGATGCACATCTTTGGACCAATTGCAATGATGATGCTGTTCAATGAGTTCTTTTCAGGCTTTTGGAGACAGAAGCCAGGATATAGAATCAGATTCATCTATGGTTCTCAACCCTTCAGTAACATGTCCAGATACAGCAACCTCAAGAAAAGAACACTTGAGTGACACGATGATCTCTCTTTCTGTGATCCCCTATGTCCAAGACTGATCTGCTAATTCCTGCAAACATTAGATCTTTATCTTTTGGTCATTATGCATAGACCTATGTTTGATCACCACTGATGCATGCCAACCTTGGAAAGTTTCTACTAAGCTGATGTGCTTGGTGACTTCCCATCTATCGAAAGAGATGTAGGAACACTCATAGAAATGGTGAGTGTGCATCCCAAGGTTCCTTTTTCTTCACTGCACCCAAAGCTTGTTCTGAAATTTCAACTTCTTCACTGCATGCATAAGGATCTAACTTTGCTGAGCTGATCATCAACATGTTATATTTTATAGCAGATAAGGCCAGCAATGCTTGGTGACTTCCCATCTTTTGAAAGAGATCGGTAACCAGTGGAATCAGAGCTGTCATAAGGTTAAAAGCATGCATCCAAAGGTTCATTTTCTAGTTGAGTTTATTTCTCTTGACTTTTCCATCCATTCAAATTCTGGCTAAGTTTATGAGTTAGATGTTTAGTTCTTCATATGTTATAACTAGAAAAGATAAATCTTTGATGATTGAGCCTCAAAAGTGTTAGCTTGTAAACTAAGTACACAGGTGTCATTTTTTTTCGAAACATCGACATGAAGAATTAGGTTGGGAGTATTCTCATCAATGCCTTTCTGACGATCAAATTAGTTCTTGAGTTCATATTATTTGGATTAGTCATTGACGTCGAAAGAGAAGTTATATAGATCTCGTGATTCAAGAACAATTACACTTGAGATCGTCAACCAAGAGAGGAATGTGCAACATTATAAACAAGGATATAGTGTGATTCTCATTGCTCCTGAAGTCCATGTTATCTATCTAAGCTAATCACGAGGTTTGAGTGATGGATCATTCAACTATGTACTATTCATGATGGCCACGCATCTTCGGATCGAATCACCATATATCAACCATATTTACTCGATAAGAACTTCGAACCATCGGTATGTTAGTCATGTGGTAGCATGTTCATCGTATCATTTCTCATATATTATTTTATATTTAATATTTATATAATTTTTTTTTTATTTTTCAGATGATCGACAGCTATTCCAATTTAAGACCTAGTTTGGTATAGGGGGAGTAACAAGGATTCGACCCAGAAAACTGGATTGACTGTGCACTGAACAAAGACCCCATCGATACCTGGGAAACCCTTTCGCAGTAACTTCAGTAATCATTGGCATCAGTGTGTTGTCTCGGCGTGTTGATGGGAGAGCTACATGACATGACACATTGCATTCTATGAATAAGCTTATCGGGCCGGATCCAGTTCCTGTCTATAAATCATACCGATCAGAAGCGCCAATTGCGGATCCTTATTCTGGATCCACAAGCTTCTTCTTTCGGATCGTCGGTGCATCCAACTCAAACCCAACCCAATAACCCCCCTAATTGTTTCTCGACTCGTAACTACCCGTTAATCACACCCTCGTTCGTGCCACGATATCAAGAGATTCGATGGTCAAGATCATCAGCGAGATCGGTGGGGCCCCCGTGCTTCGACACTGGTAGGTGGCCGAGTCGTTCCCCTAGTTTGAGAGGTAAACAGGTCGTCACGTGCCGCCACGTGCCCAGGTGTTCTATATATTCCGGTTCGTTTTTTTATTGGCCTCACTGTCTCTCGCTCTCTCTCTTTCAAGCGGCGTTTCCTCCTCGTATCGGAGGCCATTTTGGAGTGAAGAGGGAAAGAGAAGAAACCACGGAGCAGGAGCGAGCAGAAGAAGGCTTCTTCCTTCATTTCTCTGCTCCGACGCACCGCAGATCCGGTCCGGATCAGAACGGTCGGTTCGCTCTCGATCTGGCTATCTCGGATCGAGTGCGTCGGTCTAGTAGGCGCGGATCCGTGATCTGCCTATCTAGGGTTTGATCTTTCTTGGACAGATCCCGTGATTTGGATCTACTGTCTTCTCCGATCTGCTTGTATTATCGATTCGTTGCATGTGATATGCGAAGCATTGGTGCCGTTGCTCGATCCGCTTCATTCCCAATCGGATGCGACCGTGTTGGTGGCTCGGATCTACGATCTGCCTGAGCTAGGGTTTCATCTTTCTTGGCCGGTCCGGTGAGTTGGATCTATTGCATTTTCCGATATATTTGTCCTAATGATCCATAGCGTATAATCGTAGTCAGTGTGGCTGTTGCGTTGGACCATTTCAGTTTCCTCTGGTTAGATGCCGATCTTTGTAGAGGTTTCAGTTTGCTTTTACATGTTCGAGCAGTTGAATTTTCTCTAGAATGTAGTCATTTTGATCTGAATTGTTTTCTTGACGTCATGATAGATCCGCCGAATTGATTATTTTTGTAGATCTAAGAAAGAGATGGGGTTTGTGGAGCATCTGAAGGCACCAAAGGTTAGTTCAGATGAGTGAGAAAAAGAGGAGAAAGGGGATCGGTATTCGACTTTTAGGTCTTTATACCGAGCCAATGGATTTTTTCTAGTTAAACAGTCACTATCAGGGCATGTTGATAGGTGTGCTCTTACTTCGTGGGCATATCAATGAGTTCATAAGTGACGATTCATTTTGACTATATTGATTTTTCCTTCTAATATGCATGTAGTCGTAGGTAGTTACTGATTTTATACTAATAATACCGCAAGAATGTTGACAGACATTTGAAGGTTGGTTTTAAGTTTTTGCCCTTAAGTTTCTGTCAACTTGGATTGTCAAGATTAAACTGTTGTTGTATCTGGGGATGTAAACTAAGATCCGTTCACTTCATAATGTTGTACCATGCTAATTTCCAGTATTTAAAAATACTATTTTGTTTGTACATGAAAGCTAATTACTCTTTGTCCGTTATGTGTGGTCAATGACATATGTTAGAGGTTCAGTGTTACTGCTTCTTAATAGTTTATATTTCTATTTTTGTTAAGAAATTAACCTTCATGATAAGGCACTGAAGTACAAGAGATGATCCTTCTGTCACCCCACTGCATTTGGACTACTTCATCTCAGTTCCAACTCAACTGAAAGAACTTCTTCTAGACAAAAGATTGCAGGGTATTGTGAATGCATAAATTAAGAATAAGGCAGATTCTAGGTGTCACGTTTTCTCTTTTAATTATCACTTAGTAGAAAAAGCAATAACAATTGATAAATCGAAGCTATGTACTGAATTTTAGCAATTCAAACGTTCTAACAATCTAACAATGTTACCATGGTCGGGTATGCTATATGCTGAGCCCACTGCCAAAACATTTCTTATTTATACATTCACATGTTTAATGCCCGAAAAACCTTTTGCAATGTTGTTATAATTTCAAAAAGATAATTTTCATTGCTTTTGCTGTTGGTTTCTGATGTAGAAGGATTCTTGTTGCAGTGCAAACTGTTACCTGGACTCTTAGAGAGTAAGTGCAGTGACAAGTTGACATAACCCGAAAAAAATGGCACCTGCAAGTAAAGCTGATAGGAAGGCAGCATTAGATGTAGCTGCTTGGACGTTCAATATTGTGACATCTGTTGGAATTATTATGGTCAATAAGGCCTTACTGGCTACTCATCGCTTCACATTTGGTAAGTCCATCATAAATTCATTTTATGGTCAATACTATTTTGTTACTGTTTTTAATGCATCTCTGATTTAATATACTCCAAATGTTTCCTTTTTTCCTTTGGGGAAACCTAGTACTTGGCTTAGTATCAAATGGCATAAGATGAACCTTTTGCAACTGGATTTGACAGATTGTTTGTAGTGTTCTATAACAATTTTGAATGTATGTTGACAATATTATTGAAACAACTTGTTTGTCCGACATTGGCATTGGAAAACTCGTGGTTGTCCTGCTTCCTCACTCAAACTCAAATGGTTTAGTGTATTAAAGTACTTTTGTTCGCTTGTTTTGTGGAACATCAGTTACCACTTGGTTTCTTTTGATCATTAGAAGGTTATCATGGCATGGCCGTAGCTAATTTATTTTTTGCATCAGCGCATTTTGACAGTTGAAGTTGTCTGCTGAAGCTCCACAAAAGTTGTGCCTCCATTCTTTTTTTTTCGCTCAAAGATGTCTACCTGTGTACTGACATCTACTTGTTAGTGATGCCCACAATCATTTATTTTCTGCTGACTTCTTGGATCTTGTTCCATTGGGTATTTGGTGAAAGACTATTTGAGGGTAATGCATCATGAATTGCATTCTGTAAATATTACCTTCATCAAAAAAGAATTTTTTACATTTCCTCTTAATTTGCCAAATATGTCATATCTTATCCCTTGCCTCAAGTTGGTAAATGTCCTCTCTGCCCATGCATTTTAATTGTACATTTATTTCCAGCTATGACCAATTCTAGTGAGTTGTTAATTGGTTTTGATCATAGCTATTTTCTACTCTAGGTTTTTGAGAATAAATCATTGTGAGGCAAGTACCATCAAATATAACTTTAAAACAGTGGTACATTAAGTGATACAGATACCTGTAGATTATGTAAGCTTTGCTGCATTCTTAGCTTCAGGACTTGTTGATCACTCCCAGTTCTCAGATAACATGTGAACTTTCTATATATGCTCTTGCAAAAATCTGCATTATTCATTACTTCTGCTATCACATTCTTCTATAATTCATATTGATTTATGGTTCTAAGATCCTCCATCACGTGGCTAAGTGCTATAATATACTAAACCCATTTTATGCATATGGGTTTTTCCATTAATTTTGGTTTTGAATTGTTTTTCATAGTTGGCATTGAAATGAAATCCAAAGCAAATATAAAGTAAAAAAATTCAGATTTATGGGCTCCATAGGCTATATCTAATTTATATATTTATTTGATTTCCATAAACTCATTAAGGTTTTCTTTTTGTTGCTGGTTTTACCTGATGCATTATATTTTATGTTGCAGCTACTACATTAACGGGCTTGCATTTTGCGACAACCACGCTCCTGACTATTATATTTAGGTGGCTGGGATACATTCAGCCTTCTCATTTACCTTTATCTAACCTTATAAAATTTGTCCTTTTTGCAAACTTATCTATCGTTGGGATGAATATTAGTTTAATGTGGAATTCCGTCGGATTTTATCAGGTTCGTTCTGGTCACAGACTATAATTATTGTCTTGAGTATGATAAATAATTTTACAAATCGGCATACTTATTTATGTAATTCAATTACAGATTGCAAAGCTGTCTATGATTCCCGTATCATGTCTTCTCGAGGTTGTGTTTGACAAAATTCATTACTCAAGGGCCACAAAGCTCAGCATAGTGGTGGTTCTGGCAGGTGTTGCTATTTGTACAGTGACTGATGTGAGCGTAAATGCTAGAGGGCTGATAGCTGCTACCATAGCGGTTTGGAGCACAGCTTTACAGCAATATGTGAGTAAATAGATACACATATGAGTTTTGCATTTCTTTAGACATGCTCAATAGAAAATGTTTCATACTTCATTGGTGCTGCATTGTATTTACTTCCAAGCCAATGGCACTTGTCTTCTGAGGTAAATAGAAACAGTTCCATTTAAGTTCTAACTCTGTAGTGACTTGTTTCTTGTAGTATGTGCATTTTCTTCAAAAGAAATATTCACTTGGATCGTTCAACCTTCTCGGGCATACTGCTCCAGTTCAGGCTGCATCGCTGTTGATATTAGGGCCTTTTGTTGATTATTGGTTGACTAACAAAAGGGTGGACAAATTTGATTACAGTGTGACTGCCGTGGTAAGTTTATGATGGTGTTTTTGAACTTTAGTATTTCATTTATGGCTTCGTGTATATTTTTTCTTCTATTAGATTCATGATGTTTATGAAGCTTGGCTTTTCCCATTTGATAGCAACTCGTACTGTGTTTTGATTTCCTCGATTGTAATTTGGCTTGTGTGATTGATTGTGATTGTAATTTGGCTTGTGTGATTGATTGCCCTTGCTGCATGCTTTACATGTGAACTAATACTGCATAGAAAAATGTCATTTTGGTTGATTTTTCTCTTACGTTTCGTCCTTTATATATATATATATATATATATATATACTGTTTATGTTTTTGTGTGGCAGTTCTTCATCGTCCTGTCATGCACCATTGCTGTGGGAACCAACCTTAGCCAGTTCATCTGTATTGGAAGATTCACGGCAGTGTCATTTCAAGTCCTTGGGCACATGAAGACAATCCTTGTCCTAACTTTGGGTTTCTTCTTATTCGGAAGAGAGGGCCTCAATTTACACGTGATCTCTGGAATGATCTTGGCAGTTTTAGGCATGATCTGGTATGGAAATGCATCATCAAAACCAGGTGGAAAAGAGCGACGGACTTATTCATTGCCCGTCGACAAATCTCAGAAGCATGGGCTCCTCTCAGAAACAGGAGACCGTGACGACGAAGTCTAAGCTACCCTTCACTTGTCACCATCTTCATCATTGCCCACAGGTTGAATATTTAAGTTGTGTTGCAGTAAAATTTGGAAGAAGTTGGGGATTTATTTCCCTGGTCTCTTTACCAATTTAGGAATTCCCCTCAGGTGATGCTGGCGGAGGCTCTATAGTTTTCTTCTTTACACATCTATATTAATTTATTGACTGGGTCATCTTCTGGTTTATGAAAAGAACTGATGGATGTATACCCTATTTGGTGACAGATGTATGCTTCCATCATATATGCTTTTGTATTTGGTAAGTTGCAGATTCAACTTACCACCACTTCATCATCAGTGCCGCCATGTAAAACAACATCGACGAGTTTCAAAGACTGTCAGAGTTATGGCTGGACTGCTCAGAGAAGTGATGCTTTGTGCTCTTAAGGTGGTGTTGTTTAAAATGGTCTTTTAATTGGATGCTTGCCATAGATGATTTTGCTTAATCGTCAAGTCGTGCCCATGCTTGGAGTTGCAGAGATAGACATCAACTCATCACTTCCGGGACAGTTGAGTCAACCAAGTAAGAGAGGGGGCTTTCTATTCAAGTAGCATGTCGGCCGGTGGATTCGTCTATAAGGGCGGTCATTTAGGAAGGGGGCTTTCCTTGTCACTCCTTAGAATTGATGACGGGAGAGACTGAAACTGGCTCACCGTTATTTTAATTATATTTTGGAGTCTTCCGGTTCTCTTCGGCTTGTCAACCCCACTAGCGTGATTCACTGGGGACCTCCAATCTATCATCCTTGATATCCGATTACTGATTTTCTGCATCAAATCCATAGCGTGGCCCATTGAGACCTCCATTCTATCATCCTTGATATTCGATCGTTGGCTTCCCCGCTCGACATCACACATATTAGTCATTTTGATCGATCACTCAATTTTGATGCTCATCATGTCACGTCAGTATTTTTTAGGGCAAATGATTGTGATCTGGTCATCTTTGGAGGACCCCACTTCCTCCAATTTTTATCTCCGCCTAATTAATATCATTTTTTTCTTTATTTTTATTTTAAATGTCGGCCGGCTATTCCACCGGCATTTCTTCTTCCTTTGAAGACAAAGTAGGTATCTGTGGATCGAGACTTCGACCTTCAAAGTCCACCCTGTCGCCTACCACCACCAGATCACACATCGTGACGCTGCAATGTGGCGCTCTCCCCGCAGCAGCAATCACTCCCGTCCTCGTACCGGTCAGCTACCAAGCTTTTGTCGGCCGCTCCGCCGACACTCAACGCTGAGTGCCATCCCCTAAATTTACTGATGTCGTATTTATTTTTAGTCATCGATTAATTATCCAGCTGCATAAATCTTATTTCATTGCCTGAATCGATATCTATTGATTTTGTTATATATTGAGGGCCACATTCACAGCAGGAGTTCATAAAAAGTACCAAGATATCTAAATATGTTTCAATTGAAGTGGTCTATGCTCTCTCGTAAACAAACATCACTGCAAAGCCACAACAGAGAGAGAGAGATACTAATGGAACTACTCTACTATATAAGCTACATAGTCCAAAGCCGTCCGATGACCATCAGACGTCTGCCAAAAGATCGTCTCTGATCTCTCTTAGATCACCCCCCACGAGTCGAACGGGTGAAGAAGAGAGAACGGGTCGCACTCGGGAAGCACCGGGCCATCGACCTCACCCCGGCCCAAGCTGGCCCGGTCGAAATAGAACGATGACATGTCCCGCGACGGAAGAAGGCGGCTCCCCTGCCCGGCCGCCGCCCGATGCTGCTGCTCCCCGGCCGGCTCGACCGTGGGCGTCCCCGTGATCCGCTGGACCAGCTCGCGGAAGTTGGCCGGGTCGGCGGCGATGTAGGTGGTGGGCGAGCGCTTCGACGCCCGGGACTTGCGCTTCTTGGAGACCCGCCCGGTGAGCGGATCCTGTCGGCGAGAAGGGTCGCCTGCGGCAAAGGAAGCGGACTCCGAGAAGAGGGAGATCCGAAGGGCCTTGGTGAGGGCGTCGTTCTCACCGGCGAAGGCCGATTCGGAGTTGCAGGTGTAGGGGCGGTACATCCACGGATCGAGAACCGAGCAGTCCTCCGCCATGGCCACAGCTTGAGACGACGGAGACGAGCCTCCCAAGCGTGAGACGAAGGAGGAGCTGAGAAGGAGTGCAGAGAGTGGGAACGAGGGGGGTTATATAGATCCTGCCTTGTGCGTTACGAGTGGTGAAGACCCAGATATGTTTGGCCTTTTAAGAAATAACCAACCAATTGCTTATACCCTCTCATCGATTGGCTGTCATAGGACAGCAGTCGCAGTCACATCCTGGGTACCCAAGCATGTGGCTGACTTCTGGGGCTGAGTTCTTCCGAGCCCGGTAAGCCATTAGTTACCTCCGTCCCACACCGGGACCCATTTCGTACGAGAAGGTTGACATAACTCGGGCGTCGAGCGTTTCGGTTTGACTTGGCATTCATCCCTGCTTTTTGTTTGCAGCAATTAATCGCTCATTCAACGTGTCTAAAGGACGTCGGCTTCACGTTAGCTACATCGAACGGTGCTTCATGACCATAGGAAGTAGGTACAGCGTGTCTTTCATGGCTTGTTCTCTCGGGCATCCCTGTGGCAGAGGCCATGGTTGCAGCTCGAGGCCGTGTTTTTTGACTTTGAGGTGTTGGGTGTCAGCTGAGACTTGCCCACTTGTTTGGCTTCCTTCAGCTCTGGGAATGATCCGTGAGTTGGTAAATCCTTGATGTGCGTCGGGATGGTCGATTTTATTCTTCATTAGTTTGAGAATTTATTGGAAGAATAATATTCGAGCGTTGAATTTATAGGAATTTTGGAACGAAGTGTATTCATGACTGTGTGGGATACTTAGTGTTTTCATGTATATATATATATATATATATATATATATATATATATATATATATGATTGTCTAATTTGAAAATCAAATCGGATTCAACTTGGTTCTTGTTGGAACCTGATAGGGGTAAAAATGTCAATGTGACACACCATGACAGCAATCCCCTGAGCGACACACTGCCCGAGGCTCGCCATACCTTGCGGCAGCTCGGCCTCCCACGCAACCCCAATGGTAATGTCAGACGCCTCCAAAGGTAAAGTCCTGCCCTGCAGACAGCTACGTCAGGTAACATCAAACCTCCTCTATAAATACCCCCAAACTCTAAAGAGAAAAAGAGGAGGAGGAACTCACTCAGACACAAAACACTCAGAGGCTCTTCTTCTGCCTCATCCACAATCCCCTCCACATCTTTCTCTAATTTGATCGTCGGAGGGGTCGGGCCGAGCTCCCGGCCCGACCTGTGTGCAGGTGCGAGACGGTGTCGCCTCTTCCTGAAGCTGCGGCAGAGCTGCCTCCCGACCCGAACCGCCGACCCGAACCACCGACCCGAACCGTCGACCCGACCTGCCGAACCGACCTCCCGATCCGAACCACCATGCTACGGCCGCCGGGAGACCCCAAGGGACGGCGCCCGAGATCCCCGGCATCCGGACCCTCGAACCGAGCCGCGACGGCCCCGAGGCCATGGCTTAAAAAGTTACTTACCGTAACAGAACCAATCTCAAGTGGATCAGATAGATCTGATCGGTGATCTAACAATTGATTATGTATCGTACCCGTCTATTGTAAGGCTAATGTGGCATAAACATTATGCATTATGTCTTTGACATGGATCATAGTAGATTCAACATGAGCTTTCTAATAATTCGAATTACCATTAAGTTGCACAGATTGCACCATGCATCCCAAACAACACTAGATGAAGTTATGTTTCCCACATTCTTCGAAACATTTGAGAATTAAACAAGCAAATTTGTAGTGAAATCGTCGCTCTCGACTCATATAAATAGGAGCCTTTGGTTATTATTGTTCTTCACCTCTGCTTACAGCTTGAACATCCTCAGATAATAGACTTAGCACTTCTCTTCCGGCAAATAAAGGTTCGAGATATCATCCTCTTCCTTTTCTAGCATCTCAGACTTGAATATGTCGCTGATTCCATCAACACCCTCGGTATTGGTGACAAAATACTTATCCTCGGAGGGTGCCAAGTTAGCCATACCGATGGAGATTGTCCCCTCGGAGGTGAATCCATCATGTGGTGCAGTTTTACTATCGATGGCAGAGTCCTTCGATTCTAACTCGATAATATCGACCCTCGACCTGGAGATTCTCTAGGGGTGTATTATATATTGATCAAGTTTGAGCTTGTGCCTACTTAGTTGGATGATCGATCTTACGTATCGCGTCACATGTTTTGCACGAGCATTGGTGCACTAGAGGCATGGCTTTGCTTTTCCCTCCACCCCATTTTTATCGAGGCTTTCAACTTCTTGAAGTTCTCATTCACCCAGATTGTGTGAAATTCATAGTGCTTTATTACAACAATCATCGAGGGATATGAAAGGCTCTATATTATTCCGGTGTTAATCCTCCTACTAGCCTGCTATAGCTTATGTTTCAAGGGGTTGACTTATTTTCTCTCAGCTCAACCCAACTATATGGTTTTGGGCGCTTCAACTTCTTGTGAGTGTTGTAAGAAAAAATATTTTTTTTGTTTCTTTGAGGAACAGTTAGCCAATCGACTTAGATTAGTCTATCCATAAATTTTTTAATATCGCTCTAAGATTGCACAAGTCAAAAAAAGAGAAATTTTGCCAACTATCTCTAGCCCTATATGAGTCCACTACAATCCTCCAAATGAGTAAGCAATGGCTCATCAATATGGGACTAAGCCCGACTCCTCGAGGTAAGTAATTAGAATTTTGTTTTCAAGGTCTTATTTGAGTTGTCTGACCTTTAGTTTGTTTTTACATATATGATTCTTCATGTAAGGAAATCTAGGAGTGACATCACATGCGTAATGGAAAAATAAAAAATAAAATCTTCAAATTTTGCATAAATTGTATTCATCGTCATGTGAAGATTAATACACAAAATTTATAAAACCGAAAACTACATATATGAAATATTACGTTTTACCTAGGGAGATCGTATATTCCTGAATCCCTACAGATCTATAGAAGAGGATGAAGGAGGTCAAGCGTCCTCCTCTCTAGTGGTGATCCATACAACAAGGCTGCGACGACACTCCTTAAATCTCTAAACCTGCTATTCGAGGAGGAGAAGGGGAGAGGAGAATAGGAGCTGGCAACCAAAAGATACTATAGCCTATGAATCTTTGATTCCCTCTTATTTATAGAGACATCCTGTTTATAGAGACCTCTTATCAACTTAACTCTAATGGGTCCTGCTCTATTGGATATTGGATCTCCATCCAACTATCCAAGTTTATTATATTAGTGGATCTCTATCCAATAATCTATCATTGGCTTTTATTAGATCTCATCCATATGATCCAATAATTTAGGGGCTTATTAGATATCCAATAAGATAGAGGCTCCGACAGATATCATATATCAGAACCTCTACTCATCGCAATGTCTACCATATGTATGTGATCCGCTAGGCCAATATCAAGCTGGTTGTGAGTCATATCTATCATAACTCATTATGGCTTAGTGAATTATTATTTTCATAATAATTTACTCGACTCATCGACTGCGGACGTACTATGCCACTACGTAGTAGTTCCTAAACGATACAGGGGAATCCAATTCATTAGACTTATCTGTCTTTAGCTATCGTGTATCTATAGTCCATCGTCCATCTAATACCCCAGAGACCGTATACCGAGCATGGTACTGTTAGGCTCATACAGTTTCTTTTCGAGTCTCGCTCTAATCGGATTCTCCAAGATAACTTTTTCTCTCTCAATCCGAATGATCATAGCTAGGGATTTATCTGAGCAAGAACAAATGAGATATTCCTCTCATGACACTGAGAGCGAATGATCCTCTATCGACACTCAATATCCCTTTTAAAATTGACTACCACTCCCGATGATCGACTATGTTAGATTTGAAACTTCCAAACATATAAGTTCGGTATCAAATAGTAGAGTACTGATACAGAACATCCTTAGTGTCTCAAGTCTAAAGACCAAATTCATTAAATTTAGATATCTCATAATTCCTCCAATCCATATTATTTCCGGATATAGTTGCTATTTGGCATTTGTTAATGTTGGTTTGATTTAGGATTTCTATGGTGACCCCTTTTGATAAATGTAGGGGATCACTTTAGCAAGTTTTGAATAGTGCATCGATCTGTCATATTATCTTTTTGAGAGACTTATTCATTGCTGAATGTTGGGATGTTATCTATCATCTATTTTACTTCTACTTAATATGAAGCCATGGTGGTGGTGGGGTCATGAGCTTCTTACACATCATTGACTGGATTGACAACCATAGACCTTTAAACTTTTTATTCTTTTACTTTTATTGAATTTTAAACATGTCAGTATATTTTCTTACTCTGGTTTATTATTAGTTATCTTGATGATGAAGCAGGGAACGTGTTCATAAATATCTTCCTCTGGATTCCGAACCTCTACAATAATATGTATTTATATAGTTAAAAACCATCGTAAAAGGTGTCATCTTAAAAAAAAAAGAAAAGGTATACTTAATCACACGATATACACCGATTACAAAACATCGAATAAGCAATTGCATCGAACTAGTACGGGATTTAATTATTGTAGCCTAAATCAATATGATCAAGCTAAATTGAATTCGAGATATCAACCGACCATTTTCTCTTCGTCACGTGAGAAACATGTCACATTTTAATAAACGCCAATATAGTGGCATTGCCAAGGTACAGAATTGAATGGCTTAGGAAACACATGAGGGGAACTAATAACGTGCTTGATGAGACCACATGAGTTTAATAGCTATCGGTTACGATTCTCTTGATTCGCACGCCATTTTTATTTTTTACAAACAAGTCATCTCCATCTACGTGAAGAAGGACGGATGGAGAAAAAATAAAAGAAACATATGAATATATATATATATATGTATGCATTCATAACTATGTTATTGTATCTTTCGAACACAAAGAGGAGAGTTATCCGTCGCATTAGAATGATTCATGGTTCTATTTATTGAGAAAAAATATTTTTGATGTTCTTGTCAACTCGACGTGGCTTTGATCTACATGCGTAAAATTATTCGAAGCGGTAACTAAGGTATCTATGAAGTTCCGATGTCAGCTTTTATAGATCTATATTCTTAATTTCAGTACGTTTGTATCTAGAATTGAGGATGTATTTTTATATTTGATATTTTAAATGTAAAATATTTTTTAAATATTTTTATGGATGATGTGATTTGTAACCATCCCAAATTGTTCCTTGAACTTTTAGAAAATATTCTAGTGAATATTTCGTAAGGAAAAATGGTTTGTAATTGTTTTGAACTATCCCTGGACTCTTGTTGATGTGACAAACGAGTGACAGATCATCTGGACCTTTTACTCTCACGGGTCTTATGATATTTTCTATCATTATCAATTATGAATATGGAAATTAGATATAATTATAAATTTATTTGATTTTTTTTCATGATTTATTGATTACAAATTGACATTCTCTATCACTATCAATTATGAATATGAAAATTAGATATAATTACAAATTTATTTGAATTTTTTCATGATTTATTGATTACGAATCAAAACAATAAAATTAGATTAAAGAACAATTTTTGGGGGATGTTTTCACGATTTATTAGAACCGGATGTGGATCGGATCCTTGATCGAGAGAAATCATGACCACGTCTCCCATTCAAAGATCTAACCGTTTGTTTACGATCTAACGGTGTGGTCATGGTCGGATTTACTGATAAACCCGATCCGATTTGCAGGTTATAGCGTCGGTTAAAAGATTCGGGCAGATCGCGTAACATATCTCCCCACAACCCTAACTCATATTCGAGGAACCTCTGCTGATCCGGTCGGCCCTTCGACGAAACATGGCGAAAAAGGACGAGTCGACGGTGATGGAGCTCGACGGCGACAAGTCGGCTGCTGCGGAGCAGATCATTACCAAGTTTCCCATCAACGGTTTGCACTCGTCCTCCTACTTTCTTGGATCTGCGATCTTTCTGTGGTAATTTGTAGGTTTTGAGGTGTCGCTCCTCGATGAGTTTTGGTCACTGGGGTGCTTGTTTTGTGATCTCAGTGTTGCAGCTCGTGAAATCCGCTCAGATGCAGCACGGCTTGAGGCATAGAGATTACACTCGCTATAGGTGCGTTCTCTTTCGTCGCACATGAGTGCAAACCAAGTTCTTTACGCCCTCAGTTTACGGTGTTCTTGATTGATCTAATGTATGTAGGGATCTTGATTCACCATAGCGAATTGCTCTGGACGTCATTAGAATCTTAAAATGGGATGAAGCGAATTATTTCTATCATATTGTTAATATGATCTAAGATCCGTATTGATCAATTCTGTGTCCTATTAACTTTCATTCTCATTATTCTGTAGTTTTTGTTTTTGTCCATAAGATATGGTTGAAACTGTAACGACATTCAAATCGAGCTGCCAAGATGGCAGTCATTACTCTTTATAACAAGCTCAGATGATAAAAGAAAAAATAAAGATTTGCTGTAGGGATGATATATTAAAGGATTAAAGGAAAAAAAGAGTAAGAATAATGTCTACACGGTCTAATTGTTCTTCATAACTTTTAGCCTTGACCATGATATTTTCTTATGTTGTCAGCTTGTTTTGTTTTGCTTTTCTTCAAGGTAAGATGCTAATATCCTGGATATTTTACTGTCCACATCCTTGCTGTGAAATGTACCCAAAACATGATTTTTTTAAAGATGGCAGGCCTTAAATTCATGCTTAGTTTTCAATCATGCTAATTAATCTGAACTTCTCTTTTATCTTAATAATAGGAATATCTTCCATTTCATGCTACAATTCTGTTCTTCTATCTTCTCAATAGTTTTCTGTAATCTCCAATTATTTACTTAAACATAATATGTTTTTTTGTTCAAAGCTCTAGCTAACATACATATGAGTTATTTTAGATCAATGCTTCTCATGAATTTTGCACATTCTTTGTAACTTTGTACTTTATAAATTCTGTAATATTCATCTTGACTTAATAAATGTATGACACACTGGATTTATAATCATCCTTTATTTTGTTCTTCTCTTGTTCATGTGTCTCTTATGATATCAGTCAAAGCCATATATTTTTGGTATATACATTGTTTTAAGAAGAATCTTTGGTCTTTTAGGAGATATTGTACTGCACGATTGAGAAGGCTGTATAAGTCATTGAAGTTTACACATGGTCGTGGTAAATACAGCCGGAAGACTATAACAGAGTCGACTATCACTGACGTGAGGTTTGCATCGCTTGTCTTAGAAGCATCTTATGCTTCCAGTTGAAGAATACATTTCTGTTCTCTTACTTATTTTTAGATATGTTATTTTCTTTGATAAAGGTCTTTCTTTATTTATCATACTATGAGATCTATCAATATCATGTAATACATTCTCTTATCAGTTTGAGGTTTAATACATTTTCTTTAGATAAGGTACATAAATTAAAATTTTGTATGGTGTGATGCAAAAAGTGTCTCAGAATTGTCCTTCATGGTGTGTGATATATTAAGTTATCTGAAATTGGGGGAAGAGCCATTATCAAACAAATTATAAATCGATATCTGTTTATTTTTTTTAATACTTAGGCTAAAATTTCTTGCCATTTAGAATTTCTCTATTATCTTGCTGTGTAGTACACTATGCTTTAATTTGTTTTGTTTGTATGGGCACGTTTTCATAAGAAATTAAATTTATATCAGCAAGTTAATGTCTTTGCATCAACATGTAACTGTTCATGTCCAAAGTGTGGTTGACCGCAAATGGTTTTTTAACTAGTTGGTTAGATGCATTGTGCTTGTTTATGTAGGTTTTTATCAGAAATAAATCTTTGTCAGTAAGTTAATGTGTCTATATCAACATGTATCCAGGCAGGGTCAAAAATATGTTGTCAGAGATGATTTTTTAACTAGTTAACTAGTTTAAGTGAATTTCATGAAAAATGAACGAAATAGAGTTGCAATATGAAAGTCAAAATTTTAGATTACGTAGATAACACCAGAGTTCACTTTTCTATGGAAGTAATGGCAGAGTTTAAACTATTCAATGCCTTTTTATAATGTGCCAAAGAAATATATGAGTGCTTGTTTAACAAAAGAGAAATTTAATGTAGTAGTACTTCATTGAACAATATTTCATAACTTATTCCCAAGTAATTGTCAACAAGGTTAATTTTTTTGTATCTTGATTTGATTGTCAACAAATAAATTATCTCCGATTTGACTCCAAACACCAAGTATCATGACTTAATCCCTGAGGTGATTAGTATGTACTGCTTCAGTATAGTGATTGCATTATCAGCTTATGGCACTGTAATGAAAGAGATTGCTAGTTAGAGTACATCCTTTGTTTGTTCATTAGTATTTAGTCTTTGGTGGCATCGAACAGACATTAGAAATATACTCCTAATTCCTGATAGCTTATATATACCTTTCCATCTTCCATCAGAATTTGTATGCCGTATCATGACCACCAAAATTTGTGGCCTGAGTTTCTTTTTTAAACTTTAAGTAATCTTGAGGTTGGCTGTTGATTTAATTGCTTAGCGTTGTTCTGAATTACAGCTGATTTAACCATTTTTTGCATGCATTTATGTATAGTAGAATACCATACACACACATATACCACATTTATGTATATATGTGTGTGCATGCCTTCTTGGAGACCATTTTGATTGGCACCCTTCAATAGCTTTTAAGTACATTTGTCCTGGCCATTGAGACCACTTGGTAACGTAGGAGGCTTTTAAATCAATTGTCACTGTTGTTTGATAATTAAGTTAAATCAGTACTTGTTAGAAATATCAAATGACATCAGCATTGGCTCAGTTTATCTGGGGCTGTTAGAAAATACAGGATGGCAAATGTACAAAACTGTGACTTGTCATTTTAATAGGTTTCTCCATATTGTTCTCTATATGGCTGAGCGAGCTTGGAGCCATGCCATGGAGAAAAAACAGTTACCTGATGGACCAAATTCTCGCCAACGCATTCACTTGCTAGGTAGATTAAGGAAAGCAGTTAAATGGGCAACACTTTTTGCACAACTCTGTGCTGCCAAAGGAGATTCTAGAACTTCTCTTGAAGCAGAGGTATGTTTTCCACCAACTATATTGTCTAATTATTGCTTCATTTTTTTAAATATTGTTGCTACTTGAAGGCATATTTGCTATGAAATAGCAAGATCTATACATGCATATCTATATATCTGTCATGGACTGCTGTGCTTGCTGTTCTAACTCATGGCTGGCCTAATTTGTGTCCATAGCTGCCAATTGGTATGACATGGTATGAAATCATACTAAAGAGGTACTCATGTGGCCTTGTGTCATGAAAGGATGATTCTTGTGTTAATATTTTTCTTGCCAATGCAGTGTGTTATTGTAAGTTTTTGTTTTTCACTTGAGCTGTTATGGAAAAAAGGGAACGAAACAGAGAATCTGATTTTTTAGGCCACTTAGTGTTGCCATATCATCTGTTCTAAAAACCAGGATCAGGATTGGTGGTCTTAAAACCTTGCCCCTGCTATGCTTATGTGTTTTTTCGCTTGCATTCATTCTAGTTCCCTTTTGATAATAACATATTACTGATGTAGAGTTTTGGTTCATTAGAGATTAGTTTGTATTATAAGGATGTAATAATACACTCCATGACAACAGAGATTACCTTATTTATTCTAGTTATTAAATTATAATCAGTGGGATGAAGATAAGTTCTATCTAAAAGTGCCAGAGTTTTTGTCTTGCAGGCATATGCTTCTTATATGAAAGGGTCTCTATTGTTTGAACAAGATCAAAATTGGCAAAGTGCATTAATGAATTTCAAGAATGCAAGGTGCGTTATTACCAAATATATCAATCAGTTTCCTTTACTCTGAACTATGGGATATCTTGGTACCTGCTGTGTTGCGACAGATGGTACTAAGCTCAGTTTATTTCTCTGTTTATGCTGAATGTTGTTTGCTGCTTGTGTGGGTTGATCTGTTATGATAGATTTTTTTAATTCTTTATTCTTGTTGCATTAGTTTTTTGGCAGCTTTTAATGAATTATTGCTGTGAAGGGCTGTCTATGAAGAGCTTGGAAAATATGGGAACATAGAAAATCAAGTTTTATGCCGTGAACGTGTTGAAGAACTAGAACCAAGCATCAGGTATTGTTTGCACAAGGTAGGTGAATCAAACTTGCAAACTTCAGAGCTTATGGACATCGGAGAACTGGAAGGACCCGCCTTAGATCTCTTCAAATCTAAGTTAGAGGTAGGCTTTTTCCCCTATGTCCTGCTTATAATTTAAAACTTATTCTCTCTTTTATTGGTGTGTACATGCACATTGTGTGTTAATGTATGAAATTTCACTCGTAACTAACCAAAACCTTACTTTTTCTATATTTGTCAGTTATGTAGTTGCAATTGATTTCAAGTGTGGGAACACTTTGTCATTGTAATAGAATTTACTTGGTATATCTAATAGGAGGATGCTTCTGAGGTGTGAATTGTTGAGTTGTATTAAATGCATTTGTAATCTAATAGATATGATGTCTTGTATGAGTTTATAACTTTATATATTTGTTATTGGCACCTCGACTAGGTAGAATGACATGATCCATTTGACTGAAATTTGTGGAAGTATATTTGAGAAGGTGGACATTTTCCTAGTCTTAAATTTATCTAAAAATAGGTAAAAATATTGTTTGAGTCTATGGAACCTATGATGAATATAGTATCACAATGTAACTTGAGTTTTTTTTTTAAAATTTTCTTTATTCTTGTGGAGTTCTCTAATCATTTTGGCATTTTTCCATTTGCTTTGAAGATTGTTAGTTGAGTGAAAACTCTCTATACAGAGAGCATTTTGTTAAATGAGCATGTTACAATACTAGCAAGTCACTAATATAATCAGCTTTGATTTAACTTCCTGAAGGTATCTTCACATGTTCTGTAACTTTTAGGCTGTTATGGCTGAGGCAAGATCGCAACAAGCAGCATCAATGACAGAATTCTACTGGCTTGGACATAGGTTCCCTGTCAATAATGCTAAGACTCGTGTCTCCATTTTGAAAGGTTTGTGACTATTTCTTTTGTTTAAGAAATGGGGTATTGATGAAGAAACGATGATGGAACATGTTGTTTGCGTTTATTGTATCTTGATATTTTCTGTCATGATCATATATATGCCCTGATTCATGGTTTAGTGACATTTTTCTGTTGCTTAACTGATTTTCTGTCGCTCCAGTGATCCAGGCTTAAGTATCATATAGAATTTTCATTAACAAGATTATAGAGATAAATATAATCATATCTCTTGATGGTAACATTATCTATTTTGTTGGTAAATAGTAAACACTCCTTGTGATTTTTAATTTTCTATGTAGTTGCCATGGTGGCATTTATTAATTCTCTGGTATCTATGCATATAATGTTTTTATTAATTAAGTCATACATATGAAGTACTGTTATAAATACTTGTATTTTTTACCTCATGCTGTCACAGTGGCCCATACAAGCATGCCTGAGGTGTAATTAATGTTTTTTTAATTAAGCTATACATATGAATTACTATTATGTATATCTGTATTTATTTTCTTATGCTGTTACAGAGGCCCATGCAAGCTTGCCTGATGTGTAGTGTAGAGCCATGGATATATATAGAAGGATATCTAAATTAGCATGCTTGATGTTACAGATTACTGTATTTCTTTGGAAATGTATACAAAATCTATACCGGTTACTTTTGTTGTTTTGTTTACTTCATATGATCTTGATAATTTGTTGAAGTTCTTCTTACTTGAAAAATTCGACCAGCTCAGGAGCTAGAGAAAGATCTACATGGTTCGGCATCAGATTCGCTTCCAGCTGAGAAGAAGCTTGCCATGTTTGACAAAATTTTTTCTGCATATCATGATGCTAGAAGCTGCATTCGTAATGACTTGGTATGATAATTAGTAGCAGTTGTTGTTGACTTGATAACTTCTTGTTTGCTCTTTCTTCTTGTAACCCATTCACAAACTATATAAGAGGTAGGGTCTTTTTGTTGTTCTATAAATAATGCACCTTACGTTATTCTGATTTTAGGCTACTGCAGGCAACGCTGAGAATGTAAAAGATGATTTAAATGGTCTGGATAAAGCAGTAAGTGCTGTGCTGGGACAGCGTACAATAGAGCGTAATCAGTTGCTTGTTGCCATTGCTAAAAGTAAATTCACTAAACAACGTGATGACAAGGGTGACAAAGTAACAAAACCTGAGGAACTTGTTCGCTTATATGATCTTCTAATACAGGTTTGGTTCCATGGTTCAGTTTCTGCGGGATCTCTTTGTTGTACCATTTTTTCCCCTAAACATTGTATCAATTTTTTCTAAATGATCTTTTCACTGTGCAAGTGTAACTCATCTGTTATTTTTCCTTTTATTTACCGGCAGAATACCTCAGATTTATCTGATTTAGTCAGTTCTGGAAGGGACAGGAACCCAGAAGAAGTCGCACTTGTGGAGGAATGTGTGATTAAGGGTACAGTGTTTCGAGCTGAGCGGTTAGTCGTCATTACCTTTGTAATTGATTTTAGTGATTTTTCATAGACAATGAAATATATCACTTGTTACCTATTTATATAAGATTAGAACCATCTGTTTTGCTCAAGCTCCTTCTCTATGTTATTGTCAACCTTTTTTATTTATTATGTTATTAGTGAGTGCCATGAAAATGAATCTTACCTTTAAATTGTTTTTAGACTAATTTCATTGAACATACCAGGTGTTTTTATTTAGCCAAATCCTACAGTTCAGCTGGTAAAAGGGCTGAAGCGTACTTGTTGTTTTGCCATGCACGTTCTCTTGGGGATACTGCCCTAGAGAAGCTTCAAATGACAAGTAATCCTGATCAGGTGTGACCCTTAGTTATTGTGACATGTTTTTGTGTTGCTACTATAGTTTTTCTGTAATGTCATCTTTTATATAAGTAAACAAATTTCTGTTGTTATATAGTGAGAATGATTTTAAGACTAGAAAGCAACACCTTGTGCCGAAACTGAAGATAACTGCAAAAAATGTGTGAACCACTAGAAGTGCTGGACTATAACATGCTTCCATGGCTGTTCTATTCCTTCCCACACATGCAACAAATGCTAGGATGCATTGTGCTTTGAGGCAAAAATGTTATTTTCATATTGCATGCTTGGTGCTTAGTTTGTTCTTACTTTGCATAATTAGTGGTAAAGCTTCTATTTCAACAGAAAAAGTGATTTGCGGCAAGTAACATGAAAATATGGTCAATGGACCTACTAACTGAATGGTTGGCGAGGCACATGGCCTAGTGCTAGCTCTATCTTGTGCCATTCATGGATAACCTTGTCTTGAATGGGCTTATTCACCACATATGTATAATACTAGGTCCACCTTGATATCAATTGTCATGACCAATCTCCATATACACTGACTTGATATCAAGTTTTTGTAGCAAATCTATCTGACCCTATATACCATCATACTCCGACCTAAATGATGTACCAATCCATGCATCACGCCAAATATGTTTAGCTTGCTTCAGAATTGAAATTCTTCTTCTGATTGTCTAATATAAACCAATAAAATTATATAAATTCGCAATTTTATGACATTTGAAAGAGAATCTTCCATTAAGCAAACGTAAAATTTTGAACTTAGATATTGTTTTCTCCAGGAATGTTTGTTTCTTCTAATCTCTGCATGTTTTGCTTGTTAAACATTTTCTTTGACAGACTTTAATTAAAGATCTGAAGGTCCTATCTGACAACTGTAGATCAAATAGTTGTATAGAACACGCAGCTGGCATTATGGAGGAAGAGAAGATTCCAGAAAAGCTATCGAAAGGTGTCTCAACCATCTCATTGACAGGGCAGGAGAAAAAGGTATATAGTTTACTGTATGCGTAAGCTTACAACAGATTTATATAGTTTACTGTATGCGTAAGTGCAATGAGTTTTGACCACCTACAGATGAAATCGTAAGATGCATCTAAAGATATCTCCCTCAAATGAAGATCCTCAGTTGATAAATTTGATTCATGTAGACATAGACATATAACAAAGTTTATTTCTTGTCATATATTTGCTCAAACTCTGCAATCTTGGTGGCTTGTCTTCATTGCAGGAAGATAAGGTTCTTCTTGAAATGCTTGATGTTTACGAGTCAGCGGTTGGAGATCACAACTCCAAAGTTGTTCCACGCATAGAGCGTTTTCCACCACCATTCCAAGCAGTTCCATGCAATCCTATTGTTCTAGATATTGCTTACAGCTCAATTGAGTTCCCATCGCTTGAAAACAGAATGAAGAAAGACAAGAAAGGTATATTCAGCAGGTTATGGCGTTAAGCTGTTCTCCTGCAGATGGGTAAAGGACATCACTCAGTTAAATTTTCATTGCTCCTGTTGTTTCCGATCGTCTGGAGAAAGAAAATTGCTACATTTAAAAGTCTGCTTCCCTTCTCTTTTTTGTCCTTTGAGTTTTCGTGACAGAGGATTGATATGGCACAGTTCCATTTAGAATCTATCTTTTTTGCTACAAGTTCGATAATAAAGCTTTGCTTCCAGATGTATCTGATCAACGTCGGATTCGACAGGCCCAACTGTTATCTCTCGACACAGTTATTTGTGCTTCTTTCACTATGAGGTGGTGTTCACAGTAAGATTTCTCTTCAGCCCTGTAGTTTCTTCTCTTCTCACATATATTAATAATTGACTGGATGATAAATCATCAGATTGTTGAGGGAAAACTATTTCTTTTATGCAACAAGCACGTAAAACATCAGTAACCTAAATCCAATAACAAGATTCTGTTTCTTTGCATTTTAATATCCTGGTAGAGTGGTGGTGTGGGCTTATGACTTTAGGCGGCTTATAGGTTGCTCAGTTTATGCTAGTTAATAATATGCTTGATTTGGTGGCCTAAATAACGGAGCTATCAAGTCCTTTGAAAGTAGCTCGACACAAAGCTGCTTAAGACCGCTTCCGCACTATAGTACTCACGGTGCCATCCCGTGCAGATCACGTGCTCTGCTCGGGGGCATCTTTTAAAAACCCGTAAGATGGCGAGTGGAAAGGATTCGAAGTCGAACAATAAAGAGCTACTGTTCTCCTCCTCCCCGATGTTCCTCCGAAGCCTCGTCGCCTCCCTCTCTCGATCCCAACTCCCCATGTCACCGTGGTTCTTCGCTTGCAACCGGCGATTCGGCGTCCTCCGAGGGGTGGGCTTTGGCTCCGCTGCCAGGACCGACGATGGTCGGCGGCCGCTTGTCGCGCCTCTTCCTCCCCCTACCTCCGACAAGGTCCGTCGCCCTTTTTTCTTTGCCTGTGTTAGGACCTTTTTCTGAGCTTTTGAATAATATTTATTGATTTTTGTGAGAAAGGATGAAGCCAGCAGCCCACGTTGTTCCTTCTCAACCGAGAAGGAACCTTTGCTTCCCTTCTTCCCCACCACCACTACAAGGCAACTCTTTCTTCACCGTTGTCGCTGTTTCCCCGGCCAGCGACCTTCGACCACCGCTCGACCTCCTCGCTGCCCCCATCTCGTTCAAAAAATAAAAAAGAAAGAAAGAAAAAAAAAAAAGAAAAGAAGAAACACGAGAGGAAGAAGAAGCCGCAGCCACCCCTGCTTCCGGCCAGCCCACCCGCCGCCGCTGCTCTCCGGCCAGCGCCCACCATCGCCCCGCTTCCCGGCCGGCGACCACCGCCGCCGCTTTTCCCCGGCCAGGAGACGACGCTGCCAGCGTCCATCCCAGCCCTACTGCCGCCGCCCGCCTCCCCTTGCGTCGCAGCGCAGCCGCTCGACCTCTCCTCCTCGGCGATCGTTGGTGACGCTGCTCCCAGCCGCGCCACCACCGCTGCCTCTCCACCGCCGCCCGCCTCCCCTTGGGTCGCAGCCGCAGCGGCCGATTGTCGCCCTCCTCGCGGTGACCGAAACAGGGCAACTCACGGATTGCCCTTGTTCCCAGCCGCGTCACCACCACTTTTCCCAGCCGCATCGCCGCCGCTCGATCACCTGGCCAGCGACCTCTTCTCCTCGCGTCCCCATCTCGCTCGAGCGAGAAGGACCGCCGGCACCGCAGCCGCAGCCGCCGGTTGCCGCAGCCCCTCCTTGCAGCGGTGGCAGAAACAGAGCTTCCTCTGTTGCCGCAGCCCCTCGTCGATCGCAGCCACGCCTCGAGCGCCGTCGCCTTCCAGCCGACCCACCACCACTGCCAGCCACTGTGCGGCGACCGCTGCTCGCCTCCCAGCCGCCGCTCCCCCTGGCTTGGGCGAGAACGACCGCCGCCACTCCCCCTTGCTCTGCGCCC